AGTAAATATTAAAGAAATAACAGTGAGCAGGATGCAATGCGAGCTAGACAACCACGTTTAGGTGGTCGGAAACAAGATAGTGTTCAAATTAAATGAATAAATATACAGCCATGTCACATGAACACATAAAAATAAAAGGTGAAAAGAATATGATAAAAACACAGTAAAAAAACACACCACGTGAAAGTAAGTCTATAAAAACGGGTTTTAAGAAGTCACTCATTAACATTCGACCTGAGGGATCCGAACACGAGAGGTCAACACCTGGTACAGGAGTGAATGCACCAGAGCGTCCACGCATTCAATTTCTCAGATCACATTCAGAGGTGGTCTGAGACACGTGGTCACAGAAAATCTTTCATAATAGTAGATCTGCACACTGACAGCTCTTTGATTCATTCAGACCTTCCTGACTGCGCTCTTTATCTCTACCTCTCTGTCTTTTGCTCATGCTAATACACACACACACACACACACACACACACACACACACACACACACACACACACGCACGCACACGCACACACGCACGTTGACATCAGAAGCATCTTCAAACTCAGACTTGGCAGAAACAACACAATTTGATCATCACAAACAGAAATGACATGTGTGCCTGCTTGCATACAGAACAGTGTGGAAGTGACAGGGGTCTCTTACTCGTCTCACAGTCTCATATATGCTTCAGTAGAATCAGAATCTGAATCCTAATTACATTCCAATTACATTTAAGTACTTAGTTACTTTCCATCGGTGGTTCAATGTGCATCACATCACTCTCATAAACGAATGTACTGACACCAAAGGATCCATTCATATAAACCTCGTTCCACAGCATCCACATCAGTTTGTGGTGGACAGTTACACATCTCTTCCTAGTCTCTCTCTCTTCTGCTCCCCAATTTATCTCTCTTCAGTCTCGGCCTTACTGTGAAGAAAGCCTTGTCGTACTGTATGTTGTGATTTCCTATGCAAATAAAACTGAACTGAACTGAACTGGAAACCTCCCTCAGGAGCATTCGAAGCGGTGACACTAAGACTTTGACTTGTTACTGTACCTTCGAGGCAGCGACCAGTTGGGCGGTGCTGGCGGCGATCTCATGTGAACAGGCGATGAGCTCCTCGTACGTACCATTTTCACCCACAACCCGGTCAGCTGAGTCTCTGTGAACACGGACAATCTCATTGCACAGTGTGTCATTCAGCACCAGTCTTATATAACTTGTAATAAGCAGAATGTGTTTGCACTGATGGTGTTTGGTACTTACAGCAGCTGTGTGGCGCCCCAGCCCACGGCCTTGGACGCAGAGATGAGTCCCTCTGTCCAGCGAGAGTTTTTGGCATAAAAGTCTGGAACCGATGCTGCTCCCTGTGGGGAGAGTGATTACAGATGCATGACTATGTCTGTGCAAAACACTTCTGTGGTTTCTATCATTGTTAAAGTAGTGTTTCCTTTAATAACCACAATAACCTTCAAATGGTCTCACCAGCCAAGGACGAATAAAACTAATATTGAAAACCAATAAATACAGCCTCGGTTTATTTATTATCTATGTTCATTTACTGATATTTGTATCACACTATTTTATTTTACTATATACCTTTATCATTACATGACCAAAGAAAATCCAATAATACAATTTATTGATAAAAGTGACTTTGAGTTGGATGGGTTTATCCTTTTGAATTTAATGAGGTAAAATTGAAGTCTCTTGCTTTTATCACATTAATCTGTGGTGCAAACAAAAAGAATAAAACTAACATTGTTTTTCTATCTTTAGGCACTTTCCTTGAATATTCACAGTGGTGATAAATGTTTCCTTATGCAGTATGTGGGTCGTTTAATGAAATTTGTATTTCCTGACTTCCAAAAATAAAAGAAGCAACTATGTAACTTGACGATCAGCTCATCAGATCCTCTTTGTGTACAACCAAATGGATGAAGTGTTAACACTTCACTGGAGAAATGAGAGAATATAGTAAATCTTGCCTGATTCAAATTTAACAGCCATTTAAATTTTTGAGCACTGTGCACCAGAATATTCCAGGGTTTTTCCCATTCTATTGATTTTGCATTATTCATTAGTTTTCACAGCACAAAAGAGAATGTGTTCGTACAGAATATAAAACTGTTAATTTTACAGGTAATATGAAGGACAGAATAAATAAGAAAGGGTTTAGATTTTTATTTAAATCCTTGTTTCTGATGATCACTTGCAAGCTGCTTTTAAAGGTTACTCGAACACTTCACTGTATAGGAATAATAAAAAAGGAATAAATATCTTTATAAATATGAGTTCTTTTTCACAAAGAAAGCTTTAGCTTCTCAGCGGAACAAGGTCTGGAACTTACCCTGCCTCCTTCCACAATGTCTTTCTGTAAATCAGTAGAAGCCGTCACCAGCATATGAACGGCCTGGAGAGGAGAGAGAGCACAGCGGAAGAAATGAACATGAAGTGGAATTCGAATCAACAGTTCATAGAAACGTATTTGAAACTAGAAACTGGTTTCTTACCTTCATCAGGTCTGAGCAGGATCCCAGGATACTGCGAGGAAACACAAGGGAAATAATAAGAAATAAACATAAGACGATGTAAACGATTGATATAAACAGCCCAGCTCTAAAGTTTTCATCGTACCCCTGGTTGACCTCCAGCTTAACACCAGTAGTGTCTCTCCTTGCCTGGTTCATTATCTCCTGTGAAGCAGAAGTGTAAACAGAAACGTTAAGTTAAGTCACACAATATCCGGGAGTTTTTCAAATTTGTATCCGTCCTTACGTCCATTCGCAGCACGGCCTCCTCGATGGCAGTGGAGGTAGCGATCATCTCTCTGTCCACCATGCTTCCCAGCTCTTCTTTCAGCACATCCTGCCCCTTTGGACGCAATTCCTTCACAAGAAATAGTTTGTAACAGGTTAACACATAAATATCCCAATTTATTAGATGTGGCCAAGCTGGGGGGGGAAATAAACAGAGAGAGGGAAATGTAATAATGCCCAATGCTGCAGTGTATAATGTTTACTCTGGTCTTCTTTCTGTTGAGACGTGGATGCAACTCATCTGCATCATCTTCCATTTAAATCAAAACCTGAGAACCGTTAACTGACTCTATATATACACTCAGGAAAGCATTTTTCCAAACAATACATTTGGTTAAGGAAATTTGTTGACTACTAATAATATTAATTACAGTTCTTAACATTATGTGGTCCTACAGAATCAACTTGTTAGCACTGAGATGGAGAAATTGGCTTTTGAATTTTATGCTCCGCACAAAAGGAACATTCAGAAAAGTCTCTTTAAAATGATTCAGGGCAGTGGGGTTGTGAAATTGGTCTCATTGTTTTTAGATATTGTTTTTCTTCTTTCCTGTGCTTTATATTGCTCAGTGCTTATCTGATCATTTATGGATCATTATTTCTTATATTGTATATTCGTCTGGAACAAAGAGCTTACTCTCAGTGGCCCTTCCTGTATAAATAAAGGTTAGAATGAATAAGTTCATGATTAGGGCATTTGAAACCCAAGTTTTCAGGGGCTTTAACATTTGCCGCTAGATCTGCACGTATTACTGTGATGAATCGTTTTTAATTTAAAGGGTCCTTGTGTGTCACTATAGTATTCTGTCAGCCCAAGATTTAACCTGCCCTGCCTGAGCCCGGAGCCAGATCCAAACCTTTGGATCAATGGTTCATGCCAGGTCGGGTATTCACTGAGAGATTTTTATCTTTCTTTAGTTTAAATAAATAATACACAGGAGAACTGAAAAGACATGTTACCAGGGATAATACAAATCAGCTCATATGTTATGCTGCAGCCACGTGGCTGAGTTATTTCTGCATTTACTCCATCAAATGACATGAAATCGTAATTCGGACATGTATTAATGGTCCAAAGAGGATGGAGTAAGTTACCAGTAATTAGATATCAGCCTTTTCATCAGAACCTGGTGTGAAGCATTGCTCACAGAGCCACTAACAATGGCTATAGTCTCTTAAAAGATCAGTTCTGACCCACCTGTCCTAAAGCGAGGATGCGTTGAACAGTGTAGCGTGTGGCAGACGGGTCTGCTCTCTGTAAACTGGCCTGGAACTTCAGATCCTTCAAAAACTGAAGGCAGTTATTCGCACAGTCCCGACAGCTTTCAGTTAAACCTGCATGAGACAAAGACGCAGGACACGAGCGTTAACTGCTTGTGCATAAAGTATTTAGAGTAGTGTGTATCCATAACAGCTTCAATGTGAGCGTGTTTCTCTCACGGTCAGCTTGGTCGGTGGGGGCGGAGTGGGATGTGGCTGCTCCGTTGACGATGGTGTCGGCAGCGAGGTGGGAAAACTGAGTGACCGCCCTCAACAAACCGCTGGCATCTAAAAACAAACAGAGGGGCATCGGATCCACGATCGTCTGAGGTAAACCCAACACACCCCCAAACCTGAACACGTGCGGCCCCTCGCTTACCGTTCATGTTTCCCAGGTAGACCGTGTGGCTCTGCTGCATCTTGTCTATAGAAGCCAGAGTGATTTCAGCACGGTTCACCAAGTAATCTGAAAACCACAGGGAGAACCGGTTTGAGAAATGGAGCTGAAGAGCTAAATTATAAGCAGATTAAAATCTATCAATACACAATCTATACCAAACTTTGATTTAGCTGTAAGTAGATATACTGTAAATCTTTATCAATCTAATCGTCAGAAACTCTAACTGCTCCTGTGGCCGCCCAAAGCTAGATGCTGCTATACAAATTGACAATGTGGTATAAAGCAACAAAATACATCTATATAGGAAAAGTTGTAATCGTTGAAAATATATTATATATTAATTATAATTATGTGTAAATAAGAACATTGTACTACTTATAATAACATTATGATGAGCTGTAACTAATATGCTGTTTAAAAAAAAACATAGAGGCAATTTTCAAACTAATAGGACTCCCTTAATTTATTGTAAATAAAGTATTAAATACATTGTGATTGATATTTAAAACTATTTACAGTTTTCTAAATGAAGGGACTGAAATAAACTGAAAACCTTTATCTGTTGGACAGACTTTCCTTCTACCTTTTCTTGTTTCTCTTGTGCTGTGTTGTATATGTCCTCTTGATTATTAATCACTTTGTTATCATGTTCTCTTTAGATATTCTGTTTTTTCCAGAAGTGACTTGTAAATCATATTGTTTTGTTTTTATTCTGTATATTTCTGTGAGAATTTGCCTATTTAATTCGTATGACATTTCTTTTTTCAGCTCTTAGATATCGAGGGCGTGGATCTTTCTTTTCCTCCTACCCAGATTTTTGATGGCTGGTAATTATTGCATTTGTACTTGGACTTATTGTCATTTTTCATGTGAAATACAAGACAGAGGTTGCTTTACTGTGGGCACGGATGATTTTGTGCTCCACGCAGACAGAAGAATCAGGTTGTTAGGTTCTGACATAAAATAAACTACATGATTATTGAAAAATGAATCAACAGATTGTTAAAGTCCTATAGTGCGATCATTGGGATTATTTGGGGGGGAGGAATTAAAACATTTTCTACCAGGTGAGCTGATGCAGCGGACGTGAATGGGGTCGTCCAGTTTGGCCACAGCGTCCAGTATGATGCCCTCGGCCTCCACCACAGCACACTGCAGCAGACAGAACTGCTCATCCTGCAGCTTCTGGGTCAGCTCCCCCTCACGACAGGCCTGTTTTCAAACACACACATGAGCTCATTAATGATTCACTGCGAAAACATCTATGACAGCTTCTCTGCACGGTCATAAACACAACTCAGCACCTGCTGCTGTAATTGGGCGTGCAAGCTTCCCAGCTCCATGCTGGTGCGCTGCCTCTCCTGCTCCATGGAGCTCTGCTGGAGCTGAGCTTGTTGCCTGAGGGAGTTCAGCTCAGCCTCCTGCTCCCTCATTGACCGGAGCATCCCGTCCTTCTCCGCCTGCAGCCCAACTACTGTACTGCTCAGCTGGGTACCACTCTGTGGAACACAACATGTGCAGGTGTTTTACTGCCAATGCTTCGCTTGGAGAGGATTTGGTGTGATGACGTACAGAAAAAGTTATTGGTACCATTTCTTTGCTCATCAGGGCGTTGTTCGCACGGGTCAGCTCTGCTCGCGTTGAGTCCAGCTCTCGCCTCAGCCTGTCGATCTCCAGCTTCTGCTCTGCATTGATGGCCAGCTGTGGAAAACATACAGTATATCATTCAGACTAACCTGTAATAAACAGGAAAGAGCTTTGGAGATAGGGCAAATGGGAGGGGGTGATTGTTTCAAAGTGCAGCCTGCTCTTTCTTGCTTTTCCAGGATTCCCAACGCTAGCTTTTAACTGGAAGAATGATCCAAAGCCGAAGTACAGATAGAAAAAGTCGAGCTTTAACACAAAATTAGCTGGGAACTATTTTGATAATTAATTATCTTTACTCTTTCTGAAGAATCCAAATGGTTTTGTTTAAACTCTGATAGTAAACTGAATATTTTGGGGCCTGGAGCTGTTGGACTGACAAAACAAGTCACAAACAACTTGGACTGAGACGTACATTTAACCATGGACAGGAGCCTGGACATGAATAGTACTGGAAACGGAATCTAAAAGAAACTGGTCAGGGGATCTGGAACAGAGGGGATGTGAGAGGAGCGGCAGCTACAGCTCCAACAGGTTACAGCTTACAATGGTAGGTGGTTATATTGCTTTCTCTTGGGTAAAACCAAATCATTTCTAAGCAGTACTGTTCACTGCAGACACTGACACGTTAGAAGCTTTGGAACCAGCACTCTGTAGTATGTACCTGTTGCTGCAGCTGAGCTCTCAGCGCCTCCAGCTCTCTGTTGGTGCGGTCTCTCTCCAGGTCCAGGGAGCCCTGCTGCTGCTGCGCCTGCTGTCTCAGCGAGGAGAGCTCGGCGTCCCTCTCTCTGGCGGCACGGAGCAGCACTTCCCGCTCCGCCTGCAGAGCGACCAGGCTGCTGCTCACATGAGATCCCTCCTGCACAAAGTGACACAGTAAATACCATGTGTGGACTGTGACTTATCATCAATAGGTGACTTACTGTGGGTTGAAAATGTTGCTGACTAATCCTGAGATAATTAGTCATGATCTCCATATCACACTATGAGTTACATGGTGGTTCTGAATGACTGATAAAAGTGATTGGAAATATAAGCTTTATCCAATATTATCTCATGAGCTGACCTTTGTAGAAGTGATATTAATTATCATTTTATCACATGTATTTCACAATGATCTATGGATACAGTTCCTTTTGCCAGACCTTTTTCTGGTATTGGTGCCTCCCAGTGCCAACCTGTCAGAAATTTGTTGAGTTATTCGTGTCGGACTGACCATGTGTCCATACATGACCCCTTTTTCTCTACCAGTCAATGGACAGGACAACAGTCTGCATGGTGTGTGAGTAGAGACTTAGACCAATCAGTTTGAGGCGTCCAAAAATGCTTTATATAACCTTTGTCCTACAAGATGCTTGACAGAGTTAAAATGTGGTAAAATTGTCTCCATGTATTGCAAACAATATATTCTACTTTAATCCCTCTGTGTTTTGTGCCTACTTGTGTCTGCAGTAATTTAGTTGCTCAGATCCACTTCCAGCATACCCTCGTGCAATGCAGCAAAGTGCAACACAGAGTCTGTGTGTGTTTGGTCATAATTTTAGTCACTAAATATCATGCATTGGCTGTGGCTGAGGGGCTAGAGTGGTTGTCCTCTATCCAGAAGGTTGGCAGTTTGGTCCCAGTCTTCCCCATCTGCATGTCATTGCCTTGGGCAAGATACTGAACCCCTGAATATAATTTAGCAGTCAGTAGCTAGAGAGCTCAAAACACAAAGGCCAAAAAGTTAAATAACTTTAAATACAAACTTAAAATATGGCTTCAAGAAAACTAAACTTGTTATCATGAGTTAATATTCCACTTTATTTTGTGTGTTCCAGTTTACACACATATTTTATTCTATTTGAATGTGGTAGTGGTTTGTTACCCTTTGTAACTTGGGAATTTTTATTTTTTTGTTTTTCCATAGTGTTTTAATTATGGGTTTGTTAATTGTTGTTAGTTTGGATGGTGAATTATCTTTGTAAGAACTGGCTATTAGGACAACTGATGATGGTTTGAGTGAGTGTATTTTCCATCGAGTCTCACCATCTCTTTATTCTGCAGGGCGCCGCGAAGGAGGGCCAGCTCTGCTCGCTGCTCCAGCAGTTCCTTGTTGAGGCGGTCGGCCTCCTGCTGCTGCTGACTCATCTGAGTGGGAGAGGAGTCGCTCATTCAGTATTTATTCATGGGAGTCTTTGTAAACCAGGGACAAACCAGGCTGAGACAGATGATATCAGACGGTGTGTAAGCTGTGCTATCGGGGGCTGAAGAGGTCTCACCGTATTTCTTTTCTCCTGCCGTAGAATTTCCAGCTCACTTTCTAGCTGTTTCTTCGCTCTCAGTAAATCATCTTGTTCTTGTTTTGTTCCGGACAGCGCCTTCACTGTCTCTGTGTTCTGCACGTGGAAACACAAATACCAAATATTAGTGACAGGTACGTGGATCTTCTCATCTGACTATCAGACAGTGGAGAAGCATACTTCCCAAAATGTCCAACAACTCCTTTAAGGATGTGACAAACACAACAGTGGTGGTGCAGTTTACCTTCTTCATTAAGTCAGCGTGACTGGTGACCAGCTCGGCGTGTCTCTCTTTGAGCTGAGTGAAACGAACCTCCGCCGCCTGAGCTCTGCCTGTGCAGACGTGACGGTATGTTTCAGTAACGTTCAGCAACATTCACGTTTCACATTCGCCTGCCCACAAAACTGTATACTCACCATCTGCCTCCTTCAGTCCAATCTGAGCCCCCACATTGGCGACGTTATTGCTCCGCAAAGCCTCCATTTCCACCCGCAGGTGTTCGTTTTCCACCATTGCCATCTGCTTGTGGGTGCGCTGCTCGTCCAGCTCAGCTTCCAGACGATTCACTTGAGCCTTTAACTCAGTCACACACCTCTGAGCCTGCGGACAGGAGGGACAGGGTGTATGTGTATGTGAAAAGTCCTCACAGCTGCAGGACGAACTCTTAGACACGAACTCTTAGACCCTCGTGGAGGGAGATGTAAGACACAGTGCGAGGTGAAAGGGACAAGTGCAGGGTGGTGTTTGAGAAACAAGTGGGAGTAGGTAACAGCAGCAGTGGCAGGGACACATGCTCAGGAACCCTTCGTGCCCAAATGCTGCAATTTACGTCTAAAATCTTTATTCTAACAATTCTTCTGTGAGTCAAATCTGACGCTTTGACATCTGCAGCAAATGTATGTCCATAAATAATACAAATGGTAAATGGTCTCTATTAATATAGAGCTTTCCTCAGCTTGACCTCTTTTACAGATCAGTTTTGCCATTCACCCATTCACACACACATGCATCTATGTGCAGCACATTCTCTAACATACATCACTCACACAATGCAGGCACAGTCGTCAGTGGCAAATTAAGGTCTGGTAACTTGCTTAAGGACACTTCAGCATGCAGACACCTTTACAGAGACTGAACCTCCGACCTTCTGGTTAGTGGATGACCCACTGTACCTCCTAAACCACAGCAGGCCGAAAAACATGTCTCTTGCAACTGCAGGATTAGCAAAATAATCCTCATGTTTGCTTTTAAAGCCTGTTAATCCAGTTGTCTGTATATCCATGGGTCTATTGCCAACAGGTAACTACTACTTTGGCAATTTTTTGTTGCCAATTTGCCAAAATGTAAACACAAATAAGATTTTTTTTAAACGCTCCACAGCTAATTTTCAACTTTGCAGTTTTCTTGATTTTGTTTAAACGTATAGACACCAACTTTGTCCAACTGTCCAACACCAGGGTGCAGGACTCACCTCGGTCCTGATGAGCTGCAGCTCTGGTTTCAGCACCTCCAGCTCCCTCCTCATGCTCTCACTCTCCGTCTCTCTCTGCTCCAGAGAAGCATCGGGTGCTGCCATTTGGCTGAGCAAATAGTACTGTCATGAGAAAAAAGCCTCAGAGTTATCCAGACTACCAGACATAATCAGAACTTTCACTTTATGGAAACTTTATCACCTGTGGCGGTGCTTCTCTAAACTCCGACTGTGGCTCCACCTCCTCGTCCTCTTGCCGCTCCTCGCTGGGCATCACCACCACGGGCTTTTTATACTCGGCGAAGGCAGCAGCTCGGAGGAAGTTTGGCGGAGACTGCAGGGTTATAATAAACAAAACACACGGACGTGATTGAAATTCACATCAAACTGATTCATGTACGCACAGAAACTCCCAAACCTATTACTTACGTCTGGGAGATCTGGGATCTGGATGATACTTTTGAAGTACTCCATTTCCCTGGCTCTGTCAAAGAACTGTGTGAGGCTGTGGAAGAAAATACAGATCTCGTTAGAGATATAAAAAAAGTTCTGATGCAGAATAATACTAATATATATACTAATATACTGTGTTTATTTTAATCTACAGTTGCTCTTCAAGGGCAAAAGGGATTTTCTTAACTTTGATGTAGAGGTATGCTGTTTAAATACAGGAGTTTTGTATCATGTTTATCTAGAAACCAAAGAGCTTTAGCTGCACAGACGAATCCTGTATTTATCCTCTGGGAGGGCTGCATATTCTCATTTTCAAATGAAAACCATGAAAAATTCTGCCATACAGATTTACTTTATAGCTTTGTCTCAGAATCCTGGAAATGACGACAGTGATTCAAACTGATTTTTCAGATTTATGTTTCTGGCAGTGATTTGTGAATTTTGTTACAGGCAATGATGGTCTAAGGATTTAATACATAGCAAAACACTTTGGGCCAGATTTGGCTCACACTTCCCACATCTGGCCCACATGCCGTTTGGAATGGTGGCACTTGGCCCCTCCTGCCAGATCTGGGCCTGATGTAAACTATAGCAATACCGCATGTCAACCAAAAGTCCCAAAGGTGGCTTCGAGCACAGTAATGAAAATCGAATTAACACATTTATTCACTAATAACCTACCTTGTAAAAAGATCACGGAACCGCTCTCTGTGTCCAAGAAGAGCATCTGGGGTGATGCCTGTAAAGCAAAAGAAATGACGAGTCGATCTAATGCACTGAGGTCTGAGTGGATAAAAACATACTGTCTGTGGTTGGGTGTGTGTGTGTGTGTGTTTGTCACTCACGGCTGTGGAGTTTAAACATCAGCAGCACAGAGAAGTGGTAGAGGAAGCTGCAGTCCAGTATGAGCGGTATCAGAGGAGTCAGCCTGCACCTTCCAGCCGGAGTTGTAGATTTGGCCCCGTTGGTGTCGAGCTGACGCAGAACTTTAGACGAGAAAAACATGGCAGCCAAATAAAAGAGATGAGCCTACAAGTATTCTGTATTTTTTATTTTCATTAACTTGATCTCTTATCTCTGCTATTATCCCCACTGGTTTTATTAGCGTTGTTTTACAAACAGTGTTTATAGAGTTATTTGAGCTGCAACTTTGCATGAAAGGTGCCATACAAATATTGTTTTATTATAACTATTATTAATATTACTATTATCATTATTACCACTAGAACAGCAACTTTGTATTAATCTGCCATTGAAAACAATTTGCAACAAATGCAGTATTTCCTCCAGTTTGAAAAACATTTCCCACAAACTAGAGTATTCACCTGTTTTGTTTATATCAACCATTAAGAAAATATGTAGGCTATATTTATGATATTTTTTTAAACATGTATATGTTAAGCAAGAACTAAGGTGCTTGAGAAAAAGAACCATAGACAGTGGAGGGAATTCAGAAGGTACTGACATGTGGAAGAAACAAATTATTATTTGACAGGAAAATAATATCAGTCTTTATCATTTAAAAGTCAGCTCATTACAAACTGATCACAAAGGTTTTTGACAGGATTATGGACTGACCTGTCTCAGCCATCTTCAGTCCAGCCTCCATGTAATCCAACAGCTCCTGTGTCATATCCAACCTACGGTATGATAAACCACATATTTAACAGGAAATTACAAATTGTGTGGCAGCTGCTCAATAACAAGTGAGTGAGAGAATAAAACGTACACTTTGTTCATGTCAGTTCCTGCTTCCTTCTCCAAAGTCTCATCACTGGCCTCCAGGTTGCCTGGAATCACCTTGTGCTGTGGAGGAGGAGGTTTTTGTCTTCAAACTAACTGTTATCATTTTAATTCTCTCACATATCATCAGATACACAAATAGAAAAGTCTTACCTTTGCATGAAACTCTATTTTGTGGCAGAGGAATTTGGCTGACAGGGCGACAATGTGGCCATATCGATCATGCAAGTTTCCCTGGAATGAATAATGATATATTAGATTGGAAGAGAGCTCACAGGAGAGAGAATATGAAAGACATATTGCATACATATTACGTCGTTACTTTCTTTGGTACATTTTCTACATTAAGTAGATTTATTTTTGGATACTTTTCACTTTAACTCTACTACATATATCAGCATATATCCGTACTTTCTACTTCTCTTCATTTTAAAAATGCATTGCATTACATATTTACAATAGTGTTTATATTTTTATAAACATACACATTCACAAATCTGAGTATAAACATCTAGATCCACATTTGTAAATCATATACAATAATAATAATATAGAATAATACGCGGGCATGGTCTGAATTCTGTTTCATGGTGTCTACTCACCCAGAGGATGCCCATGTCTTTCACGTTGCGACAGTATCGGCTAGAATCTCTAACAGCCTGTGTGGGATCAGACAGACACACGTGAGATTAAACATCAGCAGTGTGGAGGTGAAAAGTCATGGTGAGGTAAAGGAGAGGAAGAATTTGAACTTGCATTTCTGTGTCCGTCCCTGAGCAGTTTGTGCAGCAGATAGCAGAACTTCCAGCTGATCAGGGCGTTACTGGACAGAGGCAAGTTCAGGGTGTAGGACCAGAAGGTGGAGCATCCACCCTCCTTGTGACTCCCCATGATGATGTCTTCACAACAGTTAAGGAAACTCCAAAGAACATGAGGAACTCTAGTGAAACGGGCCAATTATGTGTCCAATTCAACCTCAGCCTTGTGTCCAGAGAAATCATTTTGACTATGAGCCATGCTGACAGGGGTTTTGAGTGACGGCAATGTCAGCAGGTTATCCACCGGTGTAACCCAGACGGAAATATCTCAACAACTATGGACAGCCATGACATTCTGTAGAGATATTCATGATCTCCAGAGGATGAACCCCTCTGACGTTCCCTCTAGCACCATCAGCAGGCTTGAGTTTTAACTATCTATCTATTCTTCAGGCTATGCTCTCTGTCATTTATAACAGGCAGGTCCTTCGGGGGACAAATTCTATATTGGACACTTGTGATCATCCTCTCAAGAGGGAGTTCCAACTTTTGCCCTCAGGACACTGTTACAGGGCGCCTATTCTAAATAAAGTGATTAGCAGTTAGCTGTTTTTTCTAAAAGAAAATCTGGCTGTCATTGTTTTTGTTGAAAATTGACATCTGCTTTGCATATTTGTAAGTGGTAGGAATTTCCCATTTCCCTGTACTTGCTGAAAAATGTTTTTATTGTGGATGCTGTTGTTGATGTTGTATCTGTGGTTTTGCAAACTCTTGCTGCACAACAAATCCCCCCCCTCGTGGGACAATGAAGATAATCTAACCCTTATCTTATCTGTCTATATAGCAATTTCAGATACATTGAACATGCACCAATTCATGGCTGTGAAGGTAATTTTCTGGAATTCACTGAGGAATTAAACTTACATCATAAAGTTGGAGAGTGTGAATGTCTCATGTTTTGTTTGGGAAATTGTGTTGAAGACTTCTACAAGAAATATTATCTATATGATATAATATTACAAAGTCCTTGAAGTTGAAATCTTAACATAAAAACATATTGAGAGTACAAGAACACAATCAGAATATTGTACAACTATCTAAATGGAAACATCAGGAGGCAGCTCCTAATATGAATCCATTAAGTTAACTTAATTAAGGACTGTATGGATGGTCAAAGAATGGGAATGAACATCCAAACACTTTGCCTCTGCCACTGTTTACAAACCATAGATCTCAGATACAAAGAAATTGGGAAATATGTTAAAATCAACTTAGTATATTATCATGTGTGATTATGATTCCCAAAGGAGAAATCCTTAAAGCTTTGACACACTCTATAGAGCCACCATGTTGTATAATTTAGAGCAAATTGTCTTTTTGTCTATTATCAGGGGAAATATTTGCCTTTGTCCAAAATCAGTGTAACCAAATATCTGAAAACCGAATGATCCCCCCATCAGCCTCATCTGTAACTTATTCTAATCTAATTATTAACATGATGCTATATCACAAAACCAAGTGGAGATTATACACCAACACGTGATCAATCATATTGAGCACTTTACCTTTAAAAATAGCTGGGATGGCTGTGGACAAGTTGAGCTTCGACTCATTTCCATTTTTAATTTCAGTTTGTCGGAAATAAAAACAGTTCGGTTGATTTTTTAAAGGATACGGCGCACATATTTCTCTTTGGGTGGTGTTTCACCTGTGGTGAGCGTTTTGCTGATACTGTGGAGCTGAAAGAAATGAAAATGGGACAAAAGTCAACGTCAGGCTCAAGGACATATATGAGAAATAAGGAGCTGGATTGACCCAGAGGACTAAGTTTTAATATTTCTGAAGTCCGTGAGGTTTTTAATTACAGGCAGATGTTATCTTTTTGTTGGTTTTAACTTTCAAATTAAAATAGTCATCACGTGTTCATTATCATCAGGTTACAAACTAGAAAACCTTAATTGGAATCTGGAAAAACAAAACTACATGACCCTCGGATAAAAAGCATATTTGCGCCATTAATAGAAAATCAACGACTCACCTGTTGTTTACCAAACTGCTCCTTCTCCGCAGCCAAAGCCTTTTCCGTCTTATTGTCGCTTTTATTCTTTGGTTTGCTCATCCTGCTCACTGTCCTCCACAAAAACTACAAGTCAGATGGTCCCAGTCCAGGTTTCAGCTCATTACCCCCTTTAAACAAAAAGTGCGTCACATCCAAAACGTCCCTCCTTCAAATGTCCTCATGAGTCTCAAAGTTAACCTGAGTACAGATTAAGTTGCTTCTCCTGTGCGTAAAAGCGCACCGGCGTCTTACCAAATGCGTAACAAAGTGCGCTGAAAAAAAAAAGTTGTGATGCGTGTCATAGAAAGCGCGACTGTCAAGCAGTAAAACATCCACAGTCATGAAATTTGCGTTAAGATATTTTATCAAAAAGTAGTGACGTGATGGCTGAGTTACAGTGAAGGGCTACAGACATCTCCACTGAGTCACCAGACCAATCTGTAGGCAGTGAAACTGGAAAGACAATACGAGGACACACCACCCAACAGCCCTGTAGGACTGGTTTCACATCTCTCCTACTTCACACAAGTAGCTGTTAACAACCTTAAACAGGATTTAAAAAATACACATAGTAAAAGTATGTAAGAAATAACACATTTGTAGAAAACATACACTGTGATCCACAAACACCAAACAATAAAAAAAGGTTAAGGAGATTTTAAAAATGTTTTACAAACTATATTTGTTATCAGTTCATCATTTTCCTGAGAGGCAGCACAGCTCAACCTTTGGCTGTGTACACACTGAGTCTTTTTAATGTACCGGTAGTAATACTGATTTTTTTGAATCTGACTCCAGTGCTTTAAAGTTCAGTCAATGGTGTCGCTTCAGTAAATAGTGAGGTTTCCATTAAAAAAGCAATCTGTTCTTCAGTCCATGTCGATCCATCCACACGGCCGGCTGGTGCTGTGTCGAGGGCAGGCTTTGGGTGTAGTTTCACTGGCCTGTGAGAGGACAAAAAAATAAAGCTGCTGTGTTCAAACACGCCCAAACTGAGAGGTGGAACACTTTTTAAATGGTAAATGGAAATGGTCTGTATTTTTAAAGAGCTTTTCTAGTCTTGACGACCGCTCGAAAGAGGTCGAGAGGCTCAACGAAGCTGGTGAAACTCCTCTACCTTGTGTAGCGGGGTTGTAGGGTGGTGGTGGTGGGGATGAAGATGTTGGGGTGACTGGCACTGGGTGTGAGAGGGCTCGGTGGTCCTGCAGCTCAAGGCAGGGCCGGTGTTGTGTGCTGAGCTGTGGGTTCTTAAGCTGCCGTGTGTGGCTTCGTCGACCAGAGAACAGCAGGACAGAGCATCACCAGCCTGGTAAAGAAGGCTGTCAGTAATTTACTGCTGAAGCAATGGATCCACATTTTAGGCAATGTGCATATTCACAGTTTGAACCAGAGTTCGATTTAAAGATTTCTACTTCTCTCATGTCTCATGGCTCCTTATAGGGAGCCGGGTGTCATAGCTCTGTTACTTTCTGAGAGCTGATCGAAAGAGGGCAGGGGTTACTAAGTTTATGTGTTAAATAATCACTACAGGAAAAAATGATGGAATAAGCTTTGAATCAGAATCAAACGTAGACACCCCAATTTCTCTTAGCATGTGTGGATTAGGTTTAACAGCACTAAATTAACTGTATTGTCAGGCCTAGTGTCCATTATCTGCATTGTGAACATTAAACAAGGCGATGCCATATCCCTCATTAATTTAGAACGATTAAAGTAGTCTATGGCTCGGTTGTCTTCATACTTATCAAAGAGTTGTTAAAAAAAATAAGTCACTAAAAGAGCGACCCTGGCTCTACCCAAAGGTATAACAATATCTGTTTGTACAATCATTAATCTATAAGACAAGTGGCACATGACCGGCAGTACAATCACTAAATGTGTTTTTCACACTGTAGCTTTTGTCTGGTCCAAACAATTCTTGAGGTTCTAGTTTGTTACATTCAGGCAGTTTCCAGGATTCACACTGAGCTTTTTTATTTTATCTAAAAAAATCAAATGCAATCTAGCACATCCACACATCCATTTTCTTCCGTATACCGAACCTCCATATTTTCGGTTTCTGCTCAAATTTTCGACTTCAAATGCAACTTAATGTTTCTTACTGAGGTAGTAGTTAGTGATGGCATATTAACATGTGCTTCTAATATTCTTCTGTCCCCTCATGGGTAAAACATAAAAACACATGCTTCACAATGTGCTTCAGTTTCCCTTCAGTGCAAACACCAACCATAATAATAAGCAGATATCTGAATTAACACTTCTCTGACAGGCTCGATATACAGAGAACATTTCGATCCTTTTAAAAAGGGAGAACCTGTGAGCCTGAGTTGTTGTATTTGCATGAGATTTGAAAGATGTGCCTAATAAAGTGGCCACTGAATGTGTAGTTACAAAACAGACATGTGAGTGGTACCAAACTTAATGCCACTCTAATGTCTGTATAGAAAAAAAAAAAAGACAAAAGTTTATTTTCCATCCTTCAAATGAATCCAACGATTGATAGAAACACTGTGATGATCATCGCTTTCATCTTACATCTGTCGCATGTGCTGAGAGGACTCCCAGCTCGTTGCTCGCTGTAAGACCGGCTCCTGGCAAAGTGGACGTATCACGTACATGTCCCGAGTTCTTTGGTCTGATCGATGACGGTGATTGGCTGAGCGGGCAGTTGCACGTCAACTCCTCCTGGCTGGGACACAAACAAGAGACACTGGCTCATGAATGTTTTCTGATTTCTGAAGATTCACATTTGCTCATAGGGCTTTTTTCTTTCAAAGTCTTTCAACTGGCAAGACAACACTATTGCTTCAGTGCAGGAGAAGAGCGTGAAGAAAGGACAGTGTGCTGAATCTGCTCAGTAAGACAAGGTGTAGGAGATCAGATAAAGAAGTGCCTTGAAATAAGAGCTGGTGATTTCGCTTTGGGAGAGGAGGTGCTCAAGGTCGAGATGAGCTGCTTGAAGCCTGAGAGGAATGCTCCTGCTCTTTCAGCTCATCTTTAGCAGGAACCAAAAATAAGAACAGTCTGGACTGTGATCACCTTGTGGCCGAGCCAGACAACCCTTCTTGGAGGAATTGAGTGGTCCTGAAGGAGCATAAACTCATATGACTGTGTTCGAGTAGATTTTCAAATGATGTTTCCTTGCTTGTGTCAGGTGAAATCTGATCCACAGCTTGGTGTCCTGGGTTAAGGCAGTGCTGCTGTTTGCAACTCCTGGACTGTGCATCTGCAGTTGTTTTTAAATTAACTGTCTGTACCCTTTGCATCCTCACTTGCCTGCTGACTGTGTGACGTGATTTTCTGTTGTTGTGGAGATAAATGTCAGTTTAGAGAGTGTCATTGTTTCATCACTGGTCTCCAACACAGTAACATCTGACATATCAGTAAAATCCCTTTAAGAAACCCATATTGTGTGTCATGCATTTACTTTCCTAGATATATTATTCGTGTGCACTGTTCACCTGCCAACTAAACGCAGACTGGTTTTCTCCCGCAGTGTTTCACGGGCACTTTCCAGGTTTAACTGCAGCAGCTGCATGTCATTCCTCTGATTCTCACACACCTGGAACACAGAAAAATATTGTTTTACTATTCAAAGCTAACTCATCTTAGCATTGTCAATGTTTTAGTACAATACTTCGAGGCCCATGTATACATTTAAAGAGTTACTGGCTGCAGTTGTTTTGCACGTCCTTTAGTAACTCACTGCTGAAGCTTGTGTGCATTTTCAAGTTCTGGAAAAACAAACATATATAGAACTACGGAATATTCAAAAACACTAATTGTAGAACCATTAAAAATAAAACGTGCCGATACTCAGGTTCTTATCAGTAAACTGTGCAGCTTTAAAACGCATTGGACATGACAATGATCCACAGCCACACAGGTGTAAACACTGCAGGAGCACTCCCAGGTATGCAGCCAAACCAGAAACACACCTCGACGACGAGGATGACAACAGTGTGAGGTGGAGGAACGAGGAAGAACTTATCTCCTCAGCTGAGATTGAACAATATATACACCATACTGGATGGACCTCTGCTGGCACTTGCTTCCTTGATTTGTTAGACACCATACCTGTCGCAGGCAGCGGAGCTCCGACATGGTGCGGTCCTGTTTGGAGCGAGACAGCTCCAGCAGCTCGTCTTTCCAGCTGTCGCCCTCTCCTGGTGTAACAAATCAAATGCTGCAGTTACCTCAGCGTGAATGATTCTCAGGTTGGGAGGTCTCAGTAACAAGTTACTGCACAGGATTGAATCAATAAAGGTAGATCGCAGAGATACTGCATCCATCAAATTATATACAGCACAAATGAGTGTGAAGGGAAATTTACATCGCTTGATGGCATTTTTACAAAGATAATGTCAATATCAGTTCACCTAAAAACAATACTCAACAGTGATATTAAGTGATAATGAAAATAATCAACTACACTGTCCCAGTACTATTACCTCCACCAAGGGGATTCTTTTATGTTTGGGTTTGTTTGTCTATCTGTTATTTAGCAGGACGACGCAAAAATAACTTAATGCATTACAACAAAACTTGGTGGAAAATTGCAGTATGGTATGATGTTGATGAGTGTGTACAATTTGGCGCAGATCCAAATACAAATCAGGATCTAGTAAATTGAAATTCGGTTTTATAAGGACAGCAGGTATGGACTCGCTGAGTGTCATTCTATTTCAAGTTATGTTTTTATCTTTAAATCTTTCTTTATCTTTTACCTGAATAAATATGTTACATCTGTACTAAACTGTGGTGTGGTGACCAGCAAGAGTTGACATTTATCTCATATAAAGGAGTTTAGGGCCTAGATGGACAGATTTTAGGAGGAATATGACTTATAATGACTTAAATCAAATGAGAAAACATAACACCAAACATAAGACAGAGGGGTAAATTAAGATTATTTTAAATTATGAAGAGCCTTCACATGTGCTGTAATCAGTAAATGCTAATTTTTTAACATAGTTACAATGTAATTTCACAATGATGTCATCATGATTTCATTATAGCATATGATGAAGAATAATTGGTTGATCCAAAAAGGGTGCAGATTGTATTTCCAATGTTACAGCTGATTAATACATATAACTACTACTACTTTAATCTATATAAACTTCAGGCAAGGTCTTCAGGCCTATAGAATGTAGAGACACCACTTAGGAAATTCATAAACTGGATTAAAAGAAATCCTAAAACAGATAACACTGAAGATAAAAAAATATATACTGACATGAATAGTTTTGAGAATGGATTTTGCAGTTTA